TTATTATATCACTCTTATTATATATATATATATATATATATATATATATTTTTGACATATATTTTCTTTAAAATTCCTTTAAAATTATGTTTATTATATTCTAATCATTTTTATTATATTTACTAATATAATATATTATTTACTTATTTTATTATTTATTTATGTTTGAATATATTTTATTGAAATGTTATTTTATAATATTATTATTTTAAATCTTTATTATTTTAAATGAGTAACGAGCTAAGTCGATAACATTGATATTCGTTTTTGTGTTATCGATAAAGTAAAATGACATTGAATTTTATTTTCCACAACTTTGCTTATTAAGCATAAAAGTAATAAACTTATCAATATAAAAAACATTAAATTATTTAATTAAGTCAAAAAATTAATATATAAAATTGATCAGAAAATTCGCATTTTTGTGTTTTGTATATATACGCTACAAATACGTGAGGTGACTACATAGTTATTAATACATTGAAATTTGTAATATACATTCTTCGTAGGATAGAATGAAGAGGCACTTGAGTACTTCTTACGTTGTGTGATCTGCTCAGATAAATTAAGAGCTTGGTTTCATTTGGAGATAATGGTCAGTATCAAACATCTAATCGAAGAGTGTACTGAGTGCTTCTTTATGACATTTCTCCCAAACGGAACTATTTGTCTGAGCAGACCGTACGCATATTTTGCCAAATGACAGAACGAATGTATTTTCGTTGGCGTATTCGTTCCAAAAAGTATGTAAAAGTTTCGTTAATTTCTGTCGAGTAAATATATCCACGTGATATTAAATAATTATATATTTCATATTTGCCATCGTTTACAAGAATTGTAATGCACGTGACATGTATGAAATTTCTTTTTCTTAATTAAGATTAATAGGAAAACGTCAAGAGTGACAGTAACCCTAGGATTTCTTTCATTTTAACAAATGCATACTAGTAACTTTTTATTCATTCAAACTCTAATTCAATAGAATTTAAACAATACAAAGCAAAAAAGAGAACATATGCTACATATTTTAAAAAATCTTTATTACAATTTTTTATTTTGAAATTTGTTATGTGAAAATTCTATATTATTCAAATTATCTACTATTGTTTTTATTTGTAACACTTTCAATTGAAATTGTTCTTTTTTCATAAAAATAGAAAAAAACTAAAGGAAAATAATTAAAAAAATTTGCAAAATCACAGATTACCCGTAATCAAATTTATATGTATTTGTATACACGAATATGAATATTATATAGATGACTCGGTAATAAAGGTTAGGCGCCGTCACCGAGAACGTGACTGGTCACCACGCCGTGTAAAAGAAGGATCTATACTATTTCCGAATATATCGTGCTTTTAAGGCACGCTCTTGAATCTGTTGGTATTGCTGCTGGTATATTGCAAACTTACGAACAGTGTGTATAAGTACAATTTCGATCTAAGAGCGCACAGTCTGTGGGCTAGAAGAATATCAAAATGGTGGCTGTACGACACGGGTGATGTGTACGCAAATATTGGAGTGCATTATAATTTCAGGAAAAACACGTGTGAGCACGCAACGTATACTAAAATGGGTGATTCAAAGACTCAACATGGTACACAGGAGATGAAAGGCTGGCTTTTTAAATGGACTAATTATTTAAAAGGTTATCAACGAAGGTGGTTCGTCCTGTCAAATGGCCTACTGTCGTATTACAGGTAGTTTCCTACGTGTCAGTACTTTCCTTTAAGCTATTTTATTTTCATAAATTACGCTAAAAATTGATGTGATATTTTATTGTAATAAAATATTTCTTTAATGATTTTCATCTTATAATTTTGCTGTTTTTTCAACAGCACAATAATGACAGTTATTATTAAAAAAATTATCTTGAATACAATACGGAGCTGTTCTTTTCCTTTAATTATTATACACATTTCAAAATATTGTACATATATAATACTTAATTATATTTATTTTTATAAAATTAATTTTATGGAATGACATTTTCAATTTAATTTTATATAAAAACATAATTTGAAAAGAAAAAATGACAATTAGTCATATAACCTTTTTCAACCATCTGTTAAGTATAAATAATATGATGATATGAAGTCTGAATGAAGAAGAATATGAAGATTTATAATATTTTATTTCCAATTAGATGAAAAAGAACAAAGAAAATTTAAAAAAAAAACAACCATTCGCATAAAATACGATATATAAGCATAAAAATATTTACAAACTTACAAACAACAAACATGTTCAAAAATATATACATAAACTTTCATAATATATTTGCATAATATATAATATCAGAAAAAAACATTATTTTTATTAACATATATTTTTTTATTTAAATATAATAATAAAAAATTACATATGTATAAACTTAAAAAAAAAATAACATAATATAAATAATATATGAAAATATATTCAAGGAACAGCTCTGGATTATATGTTTTATATATTAAATCTTATTTGTGATTTTTTCAGTGCCTTAAATAGTCTATGTTTAAGAATATAATAAATAAAATATAACACTAAATTTAACAGTTTGAAGTTGCATGTATATAATAAACGGCCAGTGTGCAGATTCAATTATGGATATTATTATATATGGTTTATCCAAGTATATTTAATTAAAATTAATCATAATTTCGTTTAAAACTCATATTTACATATTCCATACTTATCCATTCTAGTACAAGCAATATATCCTGAGCATGTACATGCCACAAAACACATTGAAATTTATATTTAAAAAAAATTAGAAAGTATTGAAAGAAATATTGATTGGTCAGAAAGACCATATATTTTGTATATATATTCGCTTACATTTGTCATACGCATCAGAGAAAATTTATTGCATATTTGCCTTCTACTTTTTTCTTTTTTTCAGTACAATAAAATTTTATATTTAATAATTTTATTTACTTCTGTATGTAATTTATGAATTATATTATTGAAGAAAATTATTTAGAAAGAATTAGAAATATTGTTTAATCATTATTAATCATAAAAAGTTTATAAGTTTATAATTATTTATTTCTGCGAATAAAATTCGATCTTTCAATCTCAGAATTACTGATCGTGGATACAGGTGAGAAAATACTAAGGAATATAACATATATGCCTCGAAAATTCTACTATTCAATTTCTTTATATTTAGAACATCCACGTTCCCTGACAACATGCAATGCCTAGATCTTCTTTTAATTTTCCGCTTGGCACAGTTGTGTGATTTGAGTTTGCAATATCTCGCAAATTGCAAAAACAGTATGTCCTGCAATTTTATTTTTACACAAACTACAACTTTGTGAACGTCAAAATGCTTCTCGCACAAAGTATTGTACTTATACGCAACGCACGAACGTGATGGTTGCACTATTGCTATATAAAAAGGAAAGAAAGGTAGAATGAAAGAGAAAGAGAGTATGAGTATAGAGAGAAAGGAAAAGAGTGGAAGAAAAGGCAACAATAAAATAAATATGAACGAAAGAAGGAACATCGCAATATCGCGAAAATCCAAGTAGGATAAATAGGAACAGAAAAAAATATATAGATATTTTATTCTCGAAACAGAAAAAAACAAAAAAATATCGTTTTTATACAATGTTACACAATGTGAACGGGGTCTATTTGTTTTATGGACTGTTTAGGGCTGAACCAACAGGGGGGCCAAAGATATCAAC